CGTGAGATGTCGCACCGACCGGAATAAAAGACGAAGACAAGACAAGAAAAAGAAAGAAGACAAGACAACGAAAGAGAGGAAAGAGGAAGGAGAAGAATTGGCGAGAGAAGACACGGAACAGCTGCGAATCCGGAGGAAAGTTTCCCAGCAATGGTCTCTGAAATTCCCGTCGTTGATCTGGGACAACTTGGTGAGTACAATCTTGCGTTCTTGTACCTTGGTCCTTGCGTCACGCGTTCGGATGGCGGAAGCATTGCGGTGAGAGAGAAAGAGAGGGAGGGAGGGATATAGAGGAGAGAGGGAGAGGGAGGGAGGGAGGGAGGGAGGGAGGAGGGAGGAGAGGAGAGAGAGAGGGAGGAGGAGGGAGGAGAGTGTATGGTATTGTGTGTGTGTTGTAGATGTAGCTGTGTGTGTGTGTGTGTGTGTGTGTGTGTGTGTGTGTTTGTTTTGTGTGTGTGTGTGTGTGTGTGTGTGTGTGTGTGTGTGCAAAAGAGAGAGTGAGGGGTGAGGGAGAAGAAATTGAGGAGGGAGACAAAGTGGTAGACAGACTGACAGAAACAGAGAGAAAAGAAGGAAACAGAGAAAGGGAAGCGAAAAGACAACAATAAAAGACAAGACAGGCAGACAGGACCTAAAACAGAGACAGAGTAAGAAAAAAACACACAAAAAAGGAGACAAAAAGACAACGATCAAAAGAGAGAAACCGAAAGACGAACAGAAGACCATAAAACAACAACGAAAAAAAGGACGAAACAGAAAAAAAAAAATAATCGACCCACACTTTCTCAAGACGCTATTCCTCTTCCGTTTAGAAATCTTACAAGACATTCCTTATCACTGACCATCTGACTCCGATAAGAAACGAAAGGTGCTGAGGCTCCTAGTGATAAGACCGATACCTAATCAGTACATATATTATCAAATAGCAATGATCTCAAATATGCGAATTCAGTCAACCCAGTTCAATCAAAAATTGCGTAATAAACGAACTTAAATTAAACGTGATTGTCGGTGCAGATAAGGTAAACACTATCGCGATTTTCTGATACAATTCACAGGTAACGATTCATCGAGAGAGGTCACGCAGTACACACGCACGCACACACACACGCAAACAGATATTCACGCCATATTTGGGTCGTCGATCAGCTGATTGGCCGCAGATGCATAATTTCCTTTCCAATCGACATAGTATCATCATTGTCATTATGTATTATATTATTATTATTATTATTAATATTATCCTTATTATTATTATTATTATTATTATCATTAATATTATTATTATCATTATTTTTTTATTATTATCATTATTTTTTTATTATTCTCATTATCATATTCATTACATCATCATTATCATTATCAAGATGTTCATTAAAATACTCTACCCAAAGGCAGCCGTTACTAACTTGAAATTTAATTGGACAGATAATTCTAAACAATTATGCAAGGTAACTGATGATAACTGTTTTAACTTCAATTAGTATAATCTGTCTGTCATTCTCTCCTTCCATCCATCCTCTCTCTGTCTTCTCTCTTTTCTCTTTCATCTCTCTCTCTCTCTCTCTCTCTCTCTCTCTCTTCTCTCTTCTCTCTCTCTCTCTCTCTCTCTCTCTCTCTCTCTCCTCTCTTCCCCTCTCTCCCTCTCTCTCTCTCCTTCTCTCTCTCTCTCTCTCTCTCTCTCTCTCCTCTCTTCTCTCTCTCTTCTCTCTCTACTTCTACTCTCTCTTCTCTCTCTCTCTCTCTCTCTCTCTCTCTCTCTCTCTCTCTCTCTCTCTCTCTCTCTCCTCTCTCCCTCTCTCCCTCTCTCTCTCTCCTCTCTCCCTCCCCCTTCCCCCCTCCTCCCCCCTTCCTCACCCCTCCCTTTCCCTCCCCTCCCCCCCTTTCCCTCACCCCTCCCCACCCTCCCCCCCCCCCTTTCCCCCAACCCTCCCTCTTTCCCTTCCTTCCTTCCCCTCTCCCCCCCCCCCCCCCCCTCCCATGTCACAGTTACTCTTTGCTTCTAACCCACTTGGCCATTTCGTGACGTAGTTAGTGACGTGGCCATGACGTCATCGGTGGTGACTGATGGTGATTTAGAAGCCAATACTAATGATATTTTGAATAGAACTGGAGATAATGCTGATAAATATGAATGATAAGGATAATAGATATTTATAATAAGGATGATCCGACATAATTACGGGAACGACAAGCAACAGAAATAAGGATAATTATTATAATTACAATAATGATAATAATAATGATCATAGTAATAGTAATAATGATAAAAACAATAATAGTGATAATAATAATGATGACGATTATAATTATAGTAATGAAATAATGATAATAATAACATAAATCATAACAATAATTGCAGGCACAATGATAACGATAATATTTATGGTGATGATAGTCATAATAAAAAAATAATAATGATAGCGGTAATAATAACAATTATTATTACTGTTTTACTAATATAATCATAACAATTATAATAATGAAAGTAATAACAACA